GAATTAAATAGTCGTATCTGACACTTACAGCCAAAAACCTTTTTTGTTCTCTTTCTATTTGTATTGGAGTTGTGCATATTCTCAAAAAAATTGTGCATTTATCTCAAGTCATTTTTAAAATATATTGAATTTAACAAAGGTCGTATGTAATCATGCACTGTTGAACGGAGTATTAAAAGGCGTAAGTGACACCCAGAACTCAGTTACGACCTTCTGCTGTTAGGTTTATGATCTAGCGGAAAAACGAGGAGTCGTAAGTGGTACATCCGACAAAGTAGATATATTGTAATTGTACATGGTGAAATTATGTCAAATTTGAAGTTCTATGAAATTACAGTATGAACAGGATGGATCTAATATTACATTTCATTGACCAAAGTATCCATGTTTTGTTTTTGATGCATTTGCAATATCATACCGCCGAAACTACATCATCACGTGACCATCGAGCCCAGGAAACACGTAATGTGTGAACTGTGACAGAAATTAGGTATGTATACAGTTTACATGCAATGCAGGGACTTAAATAACTGACATATAAAGCTGTGTGTATGGTTGCTATTGCACATTTACACAAACATGTGGAATATATTTTGATATTATTGTACATTTTGTGAAGAAAGTTGTGATAAATAATAAGTTCGTAAGTGTAAGCCCTATGCTGATTCTCATATATCATATCAGGGTCGTAGCTGACACTTGCGACACTTTGTCACCTGATTTGGTAGTCATATAACAGTCATTTCATCAATACATTTACACTAATAATTTCATCTTCTTTGTTGCAGGACAATGCAAATGAAGAGTACGATATTCTAGGACACTGGTCTTTGGGACGAATTTATATATTTTCCCAAACGGACGTTGTAGGAACTGTGTGATAACTTTGGAAACACATGGATAACAAGTGACTCTTGCTTTTTGTATTCAACAGATCTGAAAGATTTAAAGTAGGCACACAAGCTGTTGAATGTAATTACAGTTACGTTTGTGCAGTCAAAAGGTTGTACGTTCGTCATCCTTATCGTTTTGGACGTATTGAGTGCTTATCCAGAATAGGTGCTAGTTAACAGATCAAAACAATGGGTCGGCGACGAAAGGGAAAACAGTCACGTGAGAAGGTTGAAACTAGTGTCATGGGTGAAGATGATATTTCATTGAATATTACTGATACCAATAACGGTGATACTGAAATGTCAGATGGCACTTGTGACGAAGCTAGTATCTGCATGAATGAAAAAGTTGACGTCAACATTAGTGAATCACCACCAGCCAATCTTTCACTACTGAATGACACTGTTGCCGCGAGTCATATTAATGAAGATGAGTTGTCAGATGATAGTTTTATTGAAGCGCTTGTGTCAAGTTTTGAGGAAATTGAAAACAGTATTTCTCAGGCTCTTGCCCGTAGAGTACAGGAACACAATGGAGCAGAGAAGTTTCTTGCCTGTGATGAGCAGCAGGTGGAAGACAGTGGAACACAGACGATTCTTACCAGTAAGGACCATCAGATGGATGAGAGCGGAGAAGAGAAGATTCTTACCTGTGAGGAGCAGCAGATGGATGGCAGTAGAACAGAGAAGATTCTTACCTGTGATGAGCAGCAGATGGATGACAGTAGAGCAGAGAAGATTCTAACCTGTGAGGAGCAGCAGGTGGATGACAGCAGAACAGAGAAGATTCTAACCTGTGGGGAGCATCAGGTGGATGACAGTAGAGCAGAGAAGATTCTAACCTGTGAGGAGCAGCAGATGGATGACAGTAGAACAGAGAAGATTCTTACCTGTGAGGAGCAGCAGGTGGATGCCTGTAAAGCAGAGAAGATTCTAACCTGTGAGGTGCAGCACGTGGATGACTGTAGAGCTGAGATGATTCTTACCTGTGATGAGCAGCAGATGGATGCCTGTAGAGCTGAGGAGATTCTTACCTCTAAGGATACGACATTCAGTGAATATTGTATCCAAGCTAGTACACATGAGCATGCAGAGCGTCCTGATCTGAGTCAGTTTCCAGTGCTTCATTCCAAGGCTGATAACATACCAAGCTTTACTGAGCAGAGTAGAGAATTGGATCAGCATTCTCTACCATTGGACAATCTGCAAATTCACAATTACTCCAGTCTCTCAAGCCATAGTCAGACATCTACATCAAAGAGTGACTTGATGAAAACCAATCCGTGTACAGTTGACATCAACCAGATCCCAGTTTCACATGTCATAGAAGTTTCCTCAAATGATGTCAATCTTCGGTCATCTGATGATGGAGATAACGCTTCTATCAGTCATTGTACACTGATGAAGGTAACCTCAAATAATGCTGACATCCAGTTTGACTCAGATGATGACATACCCCTGAGTCATCTGTTGTCCAATGCTCTATTTACATCCAACAATGATGGGTATCCTGTTACTTCCATGGAGTTATGCAGCGGTACATCAACACCTGAAGACACAAGTTTCAATTCCGATCTTCTTGAATCTAGTACTTGTGATCAAGCAACTCTTTCCAGCAAACCCACTTTGCTATCATCATTTGATAACACAACAGAAGGGGACACAACCGGCATTTGTAAAATGAAATCACCCCAGGATATCAGTGACTCATGTTCACAGGACGAGTATGAATCATCTGGTGATGAGTACAGACTACTAGATTCTTTATCTGATTCTACGGATGACAGTGACACAAATCTGAAAGAATTACTGAAGCGTAAACGCCAAAAGACATCCAAAACCAATACAAATCAAGTTTTGTCACCAGTCACTTCCGAAAACACAGAAAAAAACTTTGATACAAATGATGGAGATGACGGGGACCACAAATAGGCGATGATGATAGTGATAAGCAGCAGCCACGGATGTCAAGAAGTCGTTCTCGCAACCCTGAAAAATGGAAATCAAATGAACGGAAAAGAAAAAGAAACAATGGAGAGGGTACACAAATACACGATGAAAAAGAGTCCCAATGAGAGAATGCAAACAATGTCCATGTAAATGCAAATATTTCTGCAGAACATTCAAAGATGATGACAGACATCATGTTTTCTCATCCTATTGGAAATTATTTTATGAAAGACAACGTGACTTTTTGAAACGTCATGTAAAGGCAACTGAGAAAAACAGACGAACGAAAAAAGGGTCTGCTTCAAGACGTAGCCAGATGTATGAGTACCATCTCCCATCTGACACAAACATGCTGCAAGTGTGCAAAGCATTTTTCCTATCAACTTTAGGCATAGGTGAAAAGACCGTGCATTACACGATTATGAAAAGGAACACTATTCACTCTGTTGACCAAAGAGGGAAGATGAGTCCGAAGACAAAATTCCACAGGCAGAACGCAGTCGAGTTCGGGATCACATAATGTCTTTTCCTAAAGTAGACTCTCACTATTGCAGGCTAACTTCGCAAAGGCAATATCTTTCAAAGGATCTCTCAATTTCAAAAATGTATAGACTGTATAGAGAAGAATGCAAAATAAACAATCACCTTCCCGTCAAGCAGCACATATACAGCTCAATATTCAGAACTGAATTCAACCTAGGTTTCCATGTACCCAAAAAGGATAATTGCTCGTTTTGTTTCTCATACCAAAACATGTGTCAAGAAGACAAATTGATCAACAAACCCTAAATGGAGGATCACACACGTCGTAAAATGCAAGCAAGAACCTTAAAGGAAGCTGATAAGACAAGGGCAAAATCCAACAGTGCAATAAAAGTAGTAAATTTTGATTTGCAGAAAGTTCTCATCACTCCCAAATCTACAGTTTGCGAGTTTTATTACAGTAGGAAACTTGCAACTTATAACTTATCTGTCTATGACATGGCGACGCACAATGTTAACTGCTACATGTGGGATGAAACTAAAGCCACAAGAGGAAGTTGCGAGATTGCTTCTTGTCTGTTTGAATACAACAAAACCTTGGGACCTGTGGACGAACTTATCTACTACTCAGACAGTTGCACTGGCCAACAAAGAAACATTCAGTTTTCGACAATGTGTTTGCTTTCAGTTGCAAATCTTCCAATCAAGATGATAACACATAATTACTTTGAAAGAGGACATTCACAAATGGAAGGGGACTCTGTACATGCAACAATAGAGAGGTACACAAAATATGCAGAATTGTACACCCCAATGGAATGGATGGCTGCTGTTCGAAATACAAAGCAAAAAACCTCCTCATTACAAAGTGATTGAGGTTGACTGCAGGAGTGTCTACAACTTCAAATCTATTGTTGATACTCTGGTGACAAACTGAAACAGAGCCACTGATGGAACCAAAGTTGAGTAGACAAGGATTCACTCATTTCAGTACAGAAAGGATGAACCTGAGAACGTTTTCTTCAAATATGATTTTGGTGATGAATACCGCTCTTTCTCAATCAACAGAACCAATATCAGATATGCAACTGGACAACGTGCTAAATCCCTCAAAGGTGTTGAAGTTAGACCTTTGTATTCTGCAGCCATACCTATTAGCGATGCCAAGTACAGAGATTTGTCAAACTTGTGTTCCAAAGGCCTTATGCCAGATAATTGCATGCATTTCTACACATCACTGGCACATGGTGACCACAGCAAAGACAGACTTCCCGAGCCAGACGAAGAAGAGAGCTCTGATTCAGATATTTGAAATAAGTTGTTGAAATAAGTTCTGTTTCTCAGGAAATATGTTGTTGAAGTGCTGTTCTTTAATCATTCGTTTAATGTTTGAAAGAGGTTACCGTTATTTGAACAGATAATTGTGTAACTTGATTTAATTGGTGTGAGTGAAACCATAACCATGTCCATGGCTAGTTTATTCAGTTTCCTTAACTGAGTATCAGTTTGCATATGGCTAGGTATATTCCAGAAGAAAAATGCATTTAGGATATTTTTTTGCTCATGGATATTGAGGTTGGGAAGTCTTCTCGTAATCACGCAATTATGTTCAGTTGTGATTGCTCTTTTTTAAGTAACTGATGTTATAGATTGATATTGCTCAGTTGAGTAAAGATCCCTGCAAATACTAACCTGGAATTTGTTTTTCATCATAGGTTTGCAAAACATCAGCAAACATGCCATCCGTTCATCAAATAAGCTTTACAATATTTAAAACCTACCAGAGAAGAGATGTATTTGCAATTACTTCATTAAAAGTCCTGCACAGAGATCCCCCAATATGGCGTGCAAACAGAAATGCAAATCTGGACGTATCTATGCGTATAGGGTAGATTATCATGGTCACCTGAAAGGACGTAAGTGCCATTTACAGCCTTAGCGTAGATTTCTACAAAGTATCAAAAGGCAGCATGTGTCACTTACGACCATTCTTTGGGCGAACTTCAAGACAAATGTCAGGAGAAGAAAGTAATTAAACATTAAAAAGTGAATAATTCATCTTAAAATGGGCATACAATAAGGTACATAGTATTAAGATACTCCTTCCTTACGGCTTTGCTGATATGAAAAACTTCAAATCATCATCTCAAGAAGTACGTGTTTAAAACAGTTTTTCTTGATTATCTCAGAAGTTTAAAGATTTGCAGATCTGCAGATACAACCTTTTAATTCTGCGACGTCGAAATATTCATACACTTATACACTATATTCTTATTCATCTTTATTGATATATATATGTCAGTTGAAACGCAATTTAAATACATATTCAATTTATTTAAGTTGTTCCACATTTCGTTGCAAATATATTTCCGTGTCACTGAGTAAGGGTTGTCAAAAGTTACCTCCCTTTAACTAACAAAGGCGATGTTTAGTCGGGGGGCGACAGACTGTTCAGGGCTTCTAGTGGAACCTGTGTACACATCTGAAAGCTGACATGTATCGAACTCATCTGTCTTGAAGACATGTGCGTCACACTGATGAGTAATGTGTTCAAAATACGACACAATACACCCAACAGTATGAAGGATGCTTTTGCTAGGCCACGCAAACAGACATACTCGCTTTTCATAATAATCCACCAAACACAACTTCCACATGCGTCCAAAGTCGGACACGATTGACATTACACAATTCAGATTTATAAACAACGAAGCATGAAGATTGAAATAACGGCAATTAATGGCATTTCTTGGAGTTAGGCGGTTCCAACTTACCTATCTGAAGCCATTGTGAGAGGGCGCTACGAGCGGGCACTTTGGTGTGGCCTAGTTTCAATACCGACTCATAAAAACGCTTCGTGGTTTTTAGCTATTTTACTGAGACACAAGTTTATATTCTTCGAGTAAATGGTTCGAAACTTCCTCTCCTACACGATGGATCCATCTTTGACAACATTTGTTTTCTACTCATTGACCTTGACATTCAATAATATAACATTTCGAAATTATATACTGACCGAGTTATCATATGCATTTTAAATAACATCAACTGCAAAGTTCAAAGTAAATGATGTGCAGGTTGTCCATGTAATAGGCGCCTCCGCTGAGGGAGGTCACCCAGTGACAGTAAGGTTCATCTATCAAGGTTCGATGTTGTTATTTAACGCTCTCCGTTGAGGACTTTGCGTTGTGTATTTTTAATTAGATGTTAATCTTGTACCTGGAGAACGGAACCTTTCATGGACCTTATTTCAGGTTCTATGGTTGTTCAAAGCATTGTTAAAGATTCTTCACAAAATAAGAACAAAGTTCAGATTTCACCAAATAAATACAGTTTATTAATTAATAAAAACAAACTAAGCCAAACTTAACAAAATAAATAGAAGCCAGCATCACACACACTCACAACTAGCAGTCTATAAAACCCAGAGAAAAAGAAAGTCCTAACTAATTAATTCCTACATACAAAGCCTACTCTAATCCTATCGTTTCCCCCAACCCACTAAATATTCTCCTACTCTACATGCAAAATAATCCTATACAAAACCTAGGAAAGGAGGAAGACCTCCCGACTTACTGTTCGGTCAGGATGTCCTGAAGCAAGCGACTTCTCTGAGCGTTACAGGCCCTTAAATACCCAGCTAACTAACCTTTGACCCGGGAGAAGTAGCCTATCTCCCATTGGCCCGCAATGGAGTCAGCCGACCAATCACGACAGCTCTACCATACCGCACTCGGAATGCAAACAGAATACACACCGGGCCACGGCAATCCGAGCACGGCATGGCAGCGCATGCCGTGACTGTCAACTGTCCGGGAAAGGAATAATTCCAACGGAATTTTACAGCCAAACGAAGGTAAAAAGCGGAATTTTATTAACTACAAGCAACCTCTGGAGAAATCACTTACTCCCGGAAACTGCTACCTAAAACTTCCCACTAAATATATATATATTACAACCCCAATAATGTGAAAAGAAAATAACTTCTATTCCCAACAAAAACCCATTTTCCTACATTCCTCCCCCCTTAAGAGTAAAATTCCCAATTTTATTCCCATATTTTCTTTCACACACACATTCACACCTACAATAAATTACAACAAACAAAATGCGACAAATACAATAGAAATCCAATCACTGTTCAGTAGAGACGATTCAATTACTGTCCAAGGCAGCCATGGCCTCCAGTTCTTCTTCTTCTCTTTCCTCCCTGGACCTTCTTCGGGAAGAGAGAGGCGATGACGCCTCGAGGCTTCCTCCTGCTGAAGCCGTAGCCTCCGTGGAGAGAGACTCTTCTCGTGCGGCTTCGGGAGTCTTGGCAGGACATAAGGGCCAGGGTCAAAGAACTGTCTGTTGGCAACCTCTACCTTAGTGAATTACTGTGTGATCTAGCGTGCCATCGTGCCCGAAGAAAGTTTAGCAAATTCACGGGAACATCGGGAGCATCGATGACATGTAATTTTAGGCTTATGCTTTCTAAGCCAGTGGTCCACGAACTTGCCATATTTATGAAAGACATGTACCCCACATCCGGGGACTGGACAAGGCATTCCCGCTGCAGGCCAAATCGGTCTCGCACCATCTAGGAAGTCTTGTACCTCCTCTTCAGAGACCATAATTTCGAGCGTTTCAATCGCTGAAAGCGAGAAAAGGAAGGAAACTTCCCAATAAGCAGATTAACAAGCAAAAACGAAGCAAAGCAAAGAAAACAAGCATCAACGACTAAACAACTCAAACACGTTTTAAGAATTTATTTGGCAAAAAACACAAAACAACATACTGTAACCGCTATATATATATGTCTTGCATATACATCTGTATACCCCGAGGTTCTCCTCCTTTCCCATACCTAACTTGGTGAATACACAACCTTCGGCTTTACTGCCCTGCCTACTCTGGTACGTACTGGTGATTTCATTTCAGATGCCTTGTCAAGAGTGATTGCACCCTCATCAGACCCCTCCTCCTCATCCCTGGAAAACGACACAACTGGATTTGTGTCGTCCAGTGTCTTAGATAGAGATAACTCTGTATCCCTTAGCCAGTTCCAAGGAGCAGGTTGACCTTCAAAAGGCTTCAAATGATCAACGTGGACATTTGATACAGGTGAATTTTGTCTCTTCTGTATTCCATACGTTACTTCAGAGATTTTCCTGATAACCAGGTATGGACCATCCCAACCAAGACCTAGCTTTCGATTGGCCTTGGGAGGATACCATCTCCAAACAAAATCTCCAATCTGAAATGATCGAACTTTCAATCCATGGTCATAATTTCGCTTCTGTATTGCAGCAGCAACACCCAACTTGTCAGAAGCAAATTGAAAAATCTTCTGAAAAACATCCTGTAACCATTGAACATATGCAACAGGACACAGTGGATACTGAACACCTGGAGGATGACCTACCATCACGTCAATAGGCAACTGAATTTCCCTACCTAACATCATCAGGTTAGGAGTACAATTGGTGCTCTTGTGTTCACTAGCCCTATAAGCCATAAGGAGATATGGTAAGTGGTCGTCCCAGTCTAATGGTTCCTGATGGACATAAATTGAAAGCATCTGCTTCAAAGTACGGTTAAAACGTTCTACCAATCCATCAGACTGTGGTCGGTAAGGAGTCGTACGGGTTTTTTCCACACCTAACAAATCACAGATACCTGCAAACAAGTGTGACTCAAATTCCCTACCTTGATCGGTATGAATCTGTTCTCGACAACCAAATCTACACAATACCTCGGTGACTAGCTTATCTGCAACAGTAAGGGCTGTATGATCTCTAATAGCAAATGCCTCTTTCCATTTAGTGAAATAGTCCCCTACAACCATGATGTATTCATTACCATTCCGGGTAACTGGTAAAGGACCCACAATATCAATTGCCAAACATTGCCATGGATGTCGGACCTGAGACTGCCTCAACTTGGACTTGCCTTTACCTGGGCCAGGTTTGCAGCGAGCACAGAACAAACATGACTTACACCACAACACAATGTCTTTTGACATATTTGGCCAATAAAATCTTGACTTGATAGCAGATAATGTTTTGTCTCGACCAAAATGACCAGCACATCGTTTCACGTGTAACTGTTCAAAAATGCTATTTCGAACAAGTGATGGAGCAATCAGTGTCAACTGTTTATCAAAAATATCAGACTCTGATATTCGATACAACAGTCCATTCTCCACAACCAAACTATCCCACTGACCCCACAGAGTCTTTGCCTCTGTTGACCACTCAGTAATATCCTCCCTAACTGGACACTGCAATTCTTCCCTCATTAGTTTCAAGACAGGGGCAATACCTGGATCTGCTAATTGACCTTCTAACAGCTCGTCCCTAGTCCAAACCGGTATCCAGTTAGGTGTACTAGTAGAACCAACTCCAGAATCAGACAGGATGTTCCCATCAGTTGACACATCTAAACCTGCTGCACTGTCATGTGTAAGAGGTGATACTCTAACTAATTCTGTATTCCTGGCCCAACACCCTGAACAAACTGGCTTGACACTATCTCTCCTGTCACCATTGCAGTCTGGACACTGTTCAAAACTACACTTCCTTAACGGCTTCCTAGATAAACCATCAGCATTAAGATGTTTTGTGCCAGGCCGATACTGAATCTGGAAGTTATAAGTCTCAATGATGCTTAACCATCGAGCTAGAATTCCCTCTGGATCTTTGAAATTTTTCAACCAGAACAACGGAGCATGATCAGTCCTTAGCAAAAACTTTCTCCCAAACAAGTAGTGTCGAAAAGATTTCAAAAATGTGACAACTGCCAACAACTCCCTTTTTGTGGTACAATAATTTCTCTGTGCTGGACCTAGAGTTTTACTGGCATAAGCAAGTACTTTTTCTTCACCATCCTGAATCTGTGAAAGAACAGCTCCCATACCAAAAGCACTAGCATCAGTATCCAAAATAAACATATCCTCATCTTTTGGAAATGCTAATACTGGAGAAGTCACAAGACACTTTTTCAACTGGTTGAATGCTTCCTGGCATTGCTCTGTCCATACAAAAGGAACACCTTTTCGTGTTAGTCTAACCAAGGGAAATGCAATGTGAGAGAAACCTGACACAAAATGCCTGTAATATCCCACCAGACCTAAAAAACTTCGAACTTCAGTACGACTTCCGGGAATTGGCCAGGTTTCGATAGAACTGATCTTATCAGGATTGCATCTGATCCCTTCTTCTGACACAATGTGACCTAGAAAAGCAACTTCTGTTTGAAAGAGTGTACACTTCTTAGGCTTCAACTTAAGATTTGCATGACGTAACTGTGTGAAAACCAACCTCAGATTTAGTAAAGCAACACTGAAATCTGACCCAAAAACAATAACGTCATCAAGGTAACACAGGCATTTCTTCCACCTAAGTTTTCCAAGAACTTTGTCCATCAACCTCTAAAATGTAGCTGGTGCATTAGTTAAACCAAACGGCATGACATTGAAATGGTACAACCCCATATGCGTGGCAAACGCAGTTTTGTGCTTATCTCTTGGATCCATCTTTACTTGCCAATATCCACTAGCCAAGTCCAGCGTGCTGAACCACTTGGAACCTCCCAGAGTCTCGAGAGTCTCATCAATACGAGGTAAAGGATATGCGTCCTTTGTACTGACAGAGTTCAACTTTCTAAAGTCCACACAAAACCTACAACTGCCGTCCTTCTTAGTCACTAAGCAAACTGGAGCTGACCACGGACTATCACTAGGCTCTATGACACCATGTTCCAACATTTTGTCTACTTCATCCTCTATCACCTGTTTCCTACTCAAAGGCACTCTTCTAGCAGGAAGCTTAATGGGAACCACTCCAGGAGTGTCTATCCTATGAGTTTCCACACTGGTTTGTCCTAATCTCCTGTCCTCACCAACAAAAATATCCTCAAACTCAGAAACTAAGTGAGTCAAAGCTTGTCTCTGTTCAACCGAAAGGGTTTCTGAACTTTTATCAATCAAAGGCTGCAAGTGAGAAGGAAGTTCCTGTTTGACTGTTTCAACTTCTTGATTTTGACACTCAACCACCTGTCTAATAGCACTGATGTTACCAACTAATGACGAGCTGTTCAATGATACTCCCTTGTTACTGAGGTTTAAAACTGAAACCACAACCTTATCATCCTTAGGTCTAACTAAACTCCTAGCCACAAAAAGACCTCTACTACGCAGCTGGTTATTTGGTTCAATCAAACCATGTTCATATGAAAAGGGACCTACCATTTTACACTCAATAAATCTTTCTGCACCTTCAGGAACAACAACTTTGTCCTGCACAAGAATACGAGAACAGCTGTATGTTTTCTGACTGTAAAGCTTGAGCTTACCCTGTGAAGTACTAAGCACCTTCTTTCTGATCTTGATTTCACAATCATACGTCTCAAAGAAATCCATACCAATGATACTACTCAAATGTCCTAGGTCTGCAACCACAAACTCTTGCACAAACTGTGCTCTACCAACAGTAAACTCAAATGTTGCACAACCATACACATTAACAGGAGTACCATTCGCTGTGAAAATGTCCCTACCAACGACACTCAAAGTGGAATCACTGAGACCCAACTTCTGGAAATCCTGATATGACAGTATTGAAACAGGAGAACCTGTATCCACAAGTACTGTACATATGTCTGACCCAAGCTCAATATCCAGAAAAAGACATGATTTACCACTAGTACTAGCACGCAATACTACTTGCTCTCGCATATTCGAACACATTTCTCCAACATGTGATGACATCTTCCCTGCAGTGCAACTTTCAGTCGGCCTAACATTCTGCTTGACACTGGCTGGAATCTCGGCCTGACTTAGTTTCCCCCATTTGGTTTTGCTGCAGCAGGTCCAGGTAAGTCTAACTTAGCTAGATGTGGACATTTATCTCTCATATGTCCAGGATCCTGACAAACATAACATGCAAATTTCCTTGGCCTCTGGAATGATTTCGCAAATATTTCTAAACGCTGATCTATCAACTTGACAACAGCATCCACAGTCAAACCCTCATTTGACACTGGTTCGGAAACCCTGGCAATCCGCTCACACGTTTCAGGTTTCCTGCTTTTTTGTCCCTCAACTGCCTCAAACTCTACACCATGAGCAATTGCTTCCTCTAATGTTTGGGGATGTGCAAACGCAATGTGTTTCTTCATATTGAAATTCAACAACCCCGTCAAAAACTGGTCTATGACATGTGGCTCAAGCGAAACAAAGGTGCCATCTGGATACGCCAAAAGTGCCAATCTCCGCAACTGGTAACCATAGTCAGCCACCGACTCATCCTTGCCCTGTCTACGGTTCCTAAACTCAGTCCGAAAAGCTACACCTCTTTCTCTAGGATTGAACCTCTGAGTTAGTACACCTTTAATTGCACTGTAATCACTCAACTGTAATAGCGTAAGGCTACTGAGAAGCTTTTGAGCTGTACCTCGTAAACACATAGTTAACTGTTGTGCTTTTTCTCCACTAGACCACCCATTCCATGCAGCAACTTGTTCAAAATGAACAAGAAAATCCGGCCATTCACAACTTTTACCATCAAAAGTATCCGGTCTAACTTCACGATGGGTAGGTTTCGTCATGAATGGTTGCACAAATGAGCTATCCCCATCACTATGATAAACCCTATCACCTGTCCAGTTAGAATCCATCAAAGAAGTATTCGACATCGGACCAGGAACCAACCCTGCTGCTGAAGGTGCCCTCTGATTGTATCCACAGAATTCATTCTGCCTATCAAAGTGTCTATCTACAAATGGAACACCAAAATGTACAGAACGTCTATCCTGTCTATCGCTTCTACCATAAGCAGACCCTTTGCTGAAAATTCAGCATTGCTTCATTCACAGATGATGGAATACCCATTATCTTACTATTACCGGCTTGTGTACTAACACTTGGGAGTGGATGAGATGAACCAATGTTTTCAACCGAACGACAAACATTAGGTGTAGAGGTTGCAAATCCCACTTGACCTAAATCTGACAAGTCAATAAGAGCATGGTCCAGATTATCTGGAGGGGACTCAACCCGATCATGTGCCATGGAATATAAATCATGTGTCTCCCCTGATGCCATTTTGTTTGACTATAGATGCTGCAAAACCAAGAACTTTACAATTCTGCTTCTAAACGTACTCTATGAATGTACTTTATGACCTCCAATCAGTTTCAACAGGATATACCTGTATGATGAAACAGACCTTGATTCACATAATAAAACTGCAAAATGTAATACTTTACTTGTTTTGGGGATTTTTATTTTTTTCTTACTTGTTACTTATTCTGTCAAGAATCAATTAGTTTTCACCAAAAAATGACAAAACAATCCTGGTCACGGCACCAAATCTGTAATAGGCGCCTCCGCTGAGGGAGGTCACCCAGTGACAGTAAGGTTCATCTATCAAGGTTCGATGTTGTTATTTAAAGCTCTCCGTTGAGGACTTTGCGTTGTGTATTTTTAATTAGATGTTAATCTTGTACCTGGAGAACGGAACCTTTCATGGACCTTATTTCAGGTTCTATGGTTGTTCAAGTCATTGTTAAAGATTCTTCACAAAATAAGAACAAAGTTCAGATTTCACCAAATAAATACAGTTTATTAATTAATAAAAACAAACTAAGCCAAACTTAACAAAATAAATAGAAGCCAGCATCACACACACTCACAACTAGCAGTCTATAAAACCCAAAGAAAAAGAAAGTCCTAACTAATTAATTCCTACATACAAAGCCTACTCTAATCCTATCGTTTCCCCCAACCCACTAAATATTCTCCTACTCTACATGCAAAATAATCCTATACAAAACCTAGGGAAAGGAGGAAGACCTCCCGACTTACTGTTCGGTCAGGATGTCCTGAAGCAAGCGACTTCTCTGAGCGTTACAGGCCCTTAAATACCCCGCGCGCTAACCTTTGACCCGGGGGAGTAGCCTAACTCCCATTGGCCCGCAATGGAGTCAGCCGACCAATCACGACAGCTCTACCATACCGCACTCGGAATGCAAACAGAATACACACCGGGCCACGGCAATCCGAGCACGGCATGTGACTGTCAACTGTCCGGGAAAGGAATAATTCCAACGGAATTTTACAGCCAAACGAAGGTAAAAAGCGGAATTTTATTAACTACAAGCAACCTCTGGAGAAATCACTTACTCCCGGAAACTGCTACCTAAAACTTCCCACTAAATATATATATATTACAACCCCAATAATGTGAAAAGAAAATAACTTCTATTCCCAACAAAAACCCATTTTCCTACACTACCTTAAAATGACTTAGATTGCCGATGTTATCCAATGAAAAGCACAACAGAAAATGCAAATTGTGTTTATATTTTGGAATAAACTTAGGCCTAGATTCACGATAAGCACTCTTTTCGGAAAACATATATTTCATTACCTCTTCTTAAGATGGGCATAAGTGAGGTATTAGTATTTTTATAATATATCAAATGTGTTCATGTCGCGGAAGTACAGAAGCGCTGAAGGGACCTGATGAAATAAAGTTGGCTAATATCTTGAGCGCACAAGTTAGTATTTTGAGCGCACAAGTTCATATCTTGAAAGCACAAGTTAGTATCTTGAGCGCACAAGTTAGTTATCTTGAATGCACAAGTTAACAAGGTCCCACGACCTATTTAATATCAAATTCAAGTTCACAAGTCATTAATTGTTCCACTCCCTATCAATCTACTGTAAAATAAACACTTAAATAGTCACACTATGAATTATTCGAGGTGACTGTATGATATTAATATGTATTATTTCACGAATCGCACGAGACATTCTGAATGGCGATAACGGGCTGGACACATGAATAGCTAATTAAGTATCATAATTAATTTTGTTTCATTAATTTAACGAACGTCGGGGTAATTTTGCAAATACATGTACCGCTAAAATATGGCGATAACTGTTCGTTATCCAGTACAAACTCATATCCTTTTTGGAAGATATCAAACGATGCAAAGTCGGAGTTAAGTAGGTGTTTATGATGAGACTTAGACTAACAACTAGTCTCTGAAATGAACATATTTTACTGAAAAAAGTTCATAGTAAAAAAATATATATATAATGAAAAGCAGCCCTGAGACTTTCTTCATTTTCAGACTTGCCACATTTTCTAGACTTGTGTGGGCTTTCTTGGATATATTTGCTTCAGGGTCTGTACGAGAGACTAGATGCGCCTGTAAAAGTATGCAAATTTATCATGAATATTGATCATGTTTATGTAAACGTTCATCGTCTTTAAGCTTGTCAATACTGTTCTTTGTAACTGATTTGACCATTTTTTGCTTTATTACATAAAGCAGGCCCAGGTATGTGTAATGTCATAATAAGAATTAATACATAAACATGAGTAGTGGTTTTACTGACTTCTAATGTTGGTACAAAGTATTATGAACACTAGCGTAAAGCTTGGATAGCTTGTTTTGTGCTACGGCTTTATTATGTATATATTGTATTACATGACGATGAGAAATGGAAACACTGAGTGTTATACTTAATGATAAAACTGATGTCTGATGTATTGGAAGTAAAGTCGACCTCTTTCAGGGAACTATAGTCTGTAGTCTTTGTTTGCATGTATTGATCAGTAACTGTTTCCTACCTTGGGTACAATTGCAGTTTAACTCTGTTCCTAAATTTCGCACCTCAATTCTCCAAAAGTCATTTATTTATGATTCTGCAAGTTTATGGAATGCTCTCTCCTCTACAACAAAATGTACAAATTCATTATCATCTTTTAAATCAAAGTTATCTGGAAATAATGACAAGGTTCCAAAATATTTTCTATTTGGTGAAAGAAAGACTAATATACTACACACGAAGTTAAGACATTCGTGTAGTTCATTACAAGCAGATCTGTTTGGTGTTAATCTATCAGCGAGTAGAGCTTGCAATTGTGGTGCTCCGGTGGAAGATGCTAACCATTTCTTCTTAAAATGTCCACAATTTGTCAGTTGCCGTTTTGATCTGAAGAAAGACTTTGAACTATCAAAAGTTCAGTTAGACATTGATACCATACTTTACGGCAACCCTGCCCTGCCAAATACTATCAATGAAAATATCTTTAGACATGTGCATAAATACATTGTACGAAGTAAGCGCTTCAATTAATCAATAATGTCTCAATATTATTATGTCCATCCATTACGTCCAATCATTATTGTTCATTATTGTTCATGTTTCTGATGGGAGCGGGCGGTAATAAGTTACACTGACAACTTGTGCCCAATCCATTTCAACACTGAATAAAATATGTTCAAACAAACAAACTCTGTACAATATCATATAAAACCGGCCTGATTTATTTGAGCCATTAGTATGTTATTATCATTATCGACCATAACGCCTGATGTGATTTCGCTGATACTTTCATCAATAATAGCCTTAAAGCAACTGAGATCTAATGTCAATAATATGGCGATATCTGCCAAAGCAAAGATGAGATGACCCCAAAACTTAATAGAAATACTTTAAATCGTGATATGGAAGATTTAGAACATTGTGAGATAAGTCATTTTCAGTCCAGTGCAGCTGTAGAAAGCATGCTAATCAGCATTTTGATATCTTTCGAGTTTTGGAGCGCTGAAAGCGGATATTTTCTTTGCATATATTGGCAAACGTCCAAGGGCAATGCTATTTTGCTATGAAACACATATTGCTATGAAACACATAACTATACTTTACTACGGAAGCACTGTAAGGACCTGATGAAATAAAATTTATCTTGAGCGCACGAGTTAATATCTTGAGCGCACACGTTAGTATGTTGAGCGCTCAACTTAGTATCTTGAGATACACTACTCCATAAGCAGTTCATGTGGAAGCAAGGAGGAGCGGAAACGCGAGCTGATTCATGCTTATTTTAGTCTTGGATTCCGATACAAACACATAACACATCCTCTTGTCAAAAATCGTTGTATAGTGTAGTACGCCACTTGAAGCGTATTCTGAGGTGTATGTCCCTCTTTCGCACCAAATACCAGATTTGCTGATGTTACAGTGAGTGGGTACAGTTTACACCGCTTTTAGCAATATTCCAGCAATATCACGGCGGGGAACACCAGTAATGGGCTGCACACATTTGTACCCATGTGGGGAATCGAACCCAGGCGTGACGAGCGGACGCTTTAACCACGAGGCTACCCCACCGCCCCGCTGATGTTACAGACTTTATTGCGGACAACTTCGACGATCTGGACAAAGACATGGTTATCGTTGATGCATCAAAAATGTATCCAATCCGGTGTAACAGGATACTGTACGGTCGTTGTTGGACCCGGATGGTGTTGAATTTCGCTCAGGAAACTGTCTTCATCGACGTGTTTATTCTTCAACTTCCTGTGTTGTTAAAACATGTTAAATAAACTACACCACACATACGTATACATAAGGGATTGAAACGGAGGAAGTGAAAACGAGGAATATGGTATTTTAGTAAGAAATAAAGTCGGTATATGTGCTATTCGTGTACATACTAATGGATCAAATATATAAGGCCGGTTTTATATTATATTGTACAGAGTTAACTGCAATTGTACCCAAGGTAGGAAACAGTTACTGATCAATACATGCAAACAAAGACTACAGACTATAGTTCCCCGAAAGAGGTCGATTTTACTTCCAATACATCAGACATCAGTTTTATCATGAAGTATAACACTCAGTGTTTCCATTTCTCATCGTCATGTAATACAATATATACATAATAAAGCCGTAGCACAAAACAAGCTATCCAAGCTTTACGCTAGTGTTCATAATACTTTGTACCAACATTAGAAGTCAGTAAAACCACTACTCATGTTTATGTATTAATTCTTATTATGACATTACACATACCTGGGCTTGCTTTATGTAATAAAGCAAAAAGTGGTCAAATCAGTTACAAAGAATAGTATTGACAAGCATAAAGACGATGAACGTTTACATAAACATGATCAATATTCATGATAAATTTGCATACTTTTACAGTTTTATCATAAGCACCTAGTTAACTCCGACTTTGCATCGTTTGATATCTTCCAAAAAGGATATATGTTTGTACATTTTAGCCAGCAGTCAAGCAAACGTGCGTCCCATTAATGTCATTAGATCCTAAACACGAAGTTGAGTGCTCAACAGACTAACTTGTGTGCTAAAGATATTAACTTGTGCGCTCAAGATAACTAACCTCAGCGCTCAAGGCATTAACTTGTGCGCTCAACATACTGACTCGTGCGCTGAAGATATTAACTTGTGAGCTCAAGATATTAACTTGTGAGCTCACGGCATTAACTACTAACTGTGCACTCAACATACTAACTTGAGCGCTCAACATACTAACTTGTGCGCTGAAGATATTAACTTGTGCACTCAACATACTGACTCGTGCGCTGAAGATATTAACTTGAGCGTTCAACATACTGACTCGTGCGCTGAAGATATTAACTTGAGCACTCAAGATAACTAACTCTGAGCACTCAAGATATTAACTTGAGCGTTCAACATACTGACTCGTGCGCTGAAGATATTAACTTGAGCACTCAACATACTGACTCGTGCGCTGAAGATATTAACTTGAGCGCTCAACATACTAACTCGTGCGCTGAAGATATTAACTTGAGCACTCAACATACTGTCTCGTGCGCTGAAGATATTAACTTGAGCGCTCAACATACTGTGACTCGCGCGCTGAAGATATTAACTTGAGCGCTCAACATACTAACTCGTGCGCTGAAGATATATAACTTGAGCATTCAACATACTGACTCGTGCGCTGAAGATATTAACTTGAGCTCTCAACATACTGACTCGTGCGCTGAAGATATTAACTTGAGCGCTCAACATACTGACTCGTGCGCTGAAGATATTAACTTGAGCGCTCAACATACTGACTCGTGCGCTGAAGATATTAACTTGAGCGCTCAACATACTGACTCGTGCTGAAGATATTAACTTGAGCTTAACTCAACATACTGACTCGTGCGCTGAAGATATTAACTTGAGCACTCAACATACTGTCTCGTGGCGCTGAAGATATTAACTTGAGCACTCAACATACTGACTCGTGCGCTGAAGATATTAACTTGTGCACTCAACATACTGACTCGCGCGCTGAAGATATTAACTTGTGAGCCAAACATACTGACTCTCGCGCGCTGAAGATATTAACTTGAGCACTCAACATACTGACTCGCGCTGAAGATATTAACTTGTGCACTCAACATACTGACTCGTGCGCTGAAGATATTAACTTGAGCACTCAACATACTGACTCGTGTGCTGAAGATATTAACTTGAGCGCTCAACATACTGACTCGTGGCGCTGAAGATATTAACTTGAGCCAACATACTGACTCGCGGCGCTGAAGATATTAACTTGAGCGCTCAACATACTGACTCGCGGCGCTGAAGATATTAACTTGAGCTGCTCAACATACTGAACTCGCGGCTGAAGATATTAACTTGAGCGCTCAACATACTGACTCGTGCGCTGAAGATATTAACTTGAGCTTCAACATACTGACTCGTGCGCTGAAGATATTAACTTGAGCACTCAACATACTGACTCGTGCGCTGAAGATATTAACTTGAGCGCTCAACATACTGACTCGTGCGCTGAAGATATTAACTTGAGCGTTCAACATACTGACTCGCGCTGAAGAAGATATTAACTTGAGCGCTCAACATACTACTGACTCGTATGCTGAAGATATTAACTTGAGCGCTCAACATACTGACTCATGCGCTGAAGATATTAACTTGAGCGCTCAACATACTGACTCGCGCTGAAGATATTAACTTGAGCACTCAACATACTGACTCGCGCGCGCTGAAGATATTAACTTGAGCCAACATACTGACTCGCATATTAACTGAAGATATTAACTTGAGCGCTCAACATACTGACTCGCGCTGAAGATATTAACTTGATATTAACTTGAAGATATTAACATACTGACTCATACTGCTCGCGAAGATATTAACTTGAGCACTCAACATACTGACTCGCGCGCTGAAGATATTAACTTGAGCACTCAACATACTGACTCGCGCTGAAGATATTAAGATATTAACTTGAGCACTCAACATACTGACTCGCGCGCTGAAGATATTAACTTGAGCACTCAACATACTGACTCTCGCGCTGAAGATATTAACTTGAGCTCAACATACTGACTCGCGCGCTGAAGATATTAACTTGAGCACTCAACATACTGACTCGTGCGCTGAAGATATTAACTTGAGCACTCAACATACTGACTCGTGCGCTGAAGATATTAACTTGAGCACTCAACATACTGACTCGTGCGCTGAAGATATTAACTTGAGCTCAACATACTGACTCGTGCGCTGAAGATATTAACTTGAGCACTCAACATACTGACTCGCGCGCTGAAGATATTAACTTGAGCAACTCAACATACTGACTCGCGGCGCTGAAGATATTAACTTGAGCACTCAACATACTGACTCGCAACATACTGCTGAAGATATTAACTTGAGCACTCAACATACTGACTCGTGCGCTGAAGATATTAACTTGTGCACTCAACATACTGACTCGTGCGCTGAAGATATTAACTTGAGCACTCAACATACTGACTCGTGCGCTGAAGATATTAACTTGAGCACTCAACATACTGACTCGCGCTGAAGATATTAACTTGAGCACTCAACATACTGACTCGCGCGCTGAAGATATTAACTTGAGCACTCAACATACTGACTCGCATGCTGAAGATATTAACTTGAGCACTCAACATACTGACTCGTATGCTGAAGATATTAACTTGAGCTACTCAACATACTGACTCGCATGCTGAAGATATTAACTTGAGCCGCTCAACATACTGACTCGCATGCTGAAGATATTAACTTGAGCTGCTCAACATACTGACTCGCGCGCTGAAGATATTAACTTGAGCGCCAACATACTGACTCGCGCGCTGAAGATATTAACTTGAGCGCTCAACATACTGACTCGCGCGCTGAAGATATTAACTTGAGCACTCAACATACTGACTCGCGCTGAAGATATTAACTTGAGCCTCAACATACTGACTCGCGCCTGAAGATATTAACTTGAGCACTCAACATACTGACTCGCGCTGAAGATATTAACTTGAGCACTCAACATACTGACTCGCGCGCTGAAGATATTAACTTGAGCACTCAACATACTGACTCATATTAACTTGAGCAAGATATTAACTTGAGCACTCAACATACTGACTCGCGCGCTGAAGATATTAACTTGAGCACTCAACATACTGACTCGCGCTTCTGAAGATATTAACTTGAGCACTCAACATACTGACTCGCATGCGCGCTGAAGATATTAACTTGAGCTACTCAACATACTGACTCGTATGCGCTGAAGATATTAACTTGAGCACTCAACATACTGACTCGCGGCGCTGAAGATATTAACTTGAGCCAAACATACTGACTCGCGTGCTGAAGATATTAACTTGAGCCTCAACATACTGACTCGCATGCTGAAGATATTAACTTGAGCACTCAACATACTGACTCGCGTGCTGAAGATATTAACTTGAGCACTCAACATACTGACTCGCATGCTGAAGATATTAACTTGAGCACTCAACATACTGACTCGCGGCGCTGAAGATATTAACTTGAGCACTCAACATACTGACTCGTGCGCTGAAGATATTAACTTGAGCACTCAACAACATACTCATGCGCTCGAAGATATTAACTTGAAGATATTAACTTGAGCACTCAACATACTGACTCGTGCGCTGAAGATATTAACTTGAGCACTCAACATACTGACTCGTGCCGCTGAAGATATTAACTTGAGCACTCAACATACTGACTCGTGCGCTGAAGATATTAACTTGAGCGCTCAACATACTGACTCATGCGCTGAAGATATTAACTTGAGCGCTCAACATACTGACTCGTGCGCTGAAGATATTAACTTGAGCGCTCAACATACTGACTCATGCGCTGAAGATATTAACTTGAGCGCTCAACATACTGACTCGTGCGCTGAAGATATTAACTTGAGCACTCAACATACTGACTCGCGCGCTGAAGATATTAACTTGAGCACTCAACATACTGACTCGCATGCTTGAAGATATTAACTTGAGCCAACATACTGACTCATGCTGAAGATATTAACTTGAGCACTCAACATACTGACTCGCGCTGAAGATATTAACTTGAGCACTCAACATACTGACTCGGCGCTGAAGATATTAACTTGAGCACTCAACATACTGACTCATGCTGAAGATATTAACTTGAGCGCTCAACATACTGACTCGCGGCGCTGAAGATATTAACTTGAGCTGCTCAACATACTGACTCGCGCGCTGAAGATATTAACTTGAGCACTCAACATACTGACTCGCTTGCATGCTGAAAGATATTAACTTGAGCACTCAACATACTGACTCGCGGCTTCGAAGATATTAACTTGAGCACTCAACATACTGACTCGCGCTGAAGATATTAACTTGAGCACTCAACATACTGACTCGCGCGCTGAAGATATTAACTTGAGCACTCAACATACTGACTCGCGGCGCTGAAGATATTAACTTGAGCACTCAACATACTGACTCGCGGCGCTGAAGATATTAACTTGAGCACTCAACATACTGACTCGCGGCTGAAGATATTAACTTGAGCTGCACTCAACATACTGACTCGCGGCGCTGAAGATATTAACTTGAGCACTCAACATACTGACTCGCGCGCTGAAGATATTAACTTGAGCACTCAACATACTGACTCGCGCGCTGAAGATATTAACTTGAGCACTCAACATACTGACTCGCGGCGCTGAAGATATTAACTTGAGCACTCAACATACTGACTCGCATGCTGAAGATATTAACTTGAGCACTCAACATACTGACTCGCGTATTAACTGAAGATATTAACTTGAGCACTCAACATACTGACTCGCGCGCTGAAGATATTAACTTGAGCACTCAACATACTGACTCTCGCGGCGCTGAAGATATTAAC